GGAAAGACAAAAAAAAGAGGCTGACTTTGAATTTTTACAGAGTTCAATATGTGGAAAAAAGAAAAAGAGAAGAGCTGCAAATTTTCAACCAATTATATATCTATTGTAAAAGCCAGTGCTTACCTCTTCTTTACTAACTCGACAGAGCTGTCATGGCGGCTACGGTAGTGCGAGCGATGACGTCGTCGGGGAATTTGGTTTAGGGATTGTTCTTTTGTGTCGAATAGAGTTGGGGATTTCGTCAGGGTAACCCGCACAGACGATGGTCCTGCGTGATCAAAATTCAAATTTGGGCGACAATCGTATGCCTATAATCGTCATTTTAGTTTTGTTCAAGTTTTGTTGTGGCCCAAATATGTGGGCGTATTCGGTAATGAACCCATCTCTTTTTGGGCTTTTGAACTTTTGACTATTGGTTTTTTCTTTTGTTTTCCATTTTATGATGTTGTTATTATCTTTCAATGATTTTCATTTAGGAGATTCACTATTATACCCAATATAGGGACCTAAATTATTAATTTTTTTTATATGAAATAGACTTTAGAAACACATTCAAAGTCCATTTACAACATAACACATGAGCTTTTAACTTCTTATAAATTACAAAACTGTCATCGGTTTTATAAAATAAACTCAACCCTCAAACCTCATAAAAAAAAAAACCCAAAACACTCAATAGAGCATCAAAAAAATTTAATAATCAAAATTAAATTCAATAGGGCAAGTTGTAATTTTTTGGGTGTTTTTTGGGTTTGTTTATAGAAATTAAATAGTATAGGGTTTATCTATAGTTTTAGTGCTAAAAATGAGTATTTAACTAAATATTTCTTAATGTAATCAGTTACTTAGGGAAATTATACATTATCTAGAATGCCAAGTGGGCCCTTGTTCCACTAGGATTGGCTTGAAGAGCAAGGTTTTTTAGAATTAAGAAAAGATAACATGGGTAGTTATGTTCCACAAAAGTAGGGCCTATTATCTTATTTTGTTTTTAATTTTATTTCTTTAATATGAAAAAAATGTGAATTTACCATATTATCCTCATTTAATTAATAATTTCAATTTTTAATGTTTGAATTAACCAATGACATTTTCTGGTATTTTGAATATTTCACCATTCTCTGTCTTTTGCTTTATATATATATATATATATATTTCAAATTTCTTTTATTGTGTGAACAGTGCCAAAAGGTTAATATGCAAAATATTAACTAAATATATTACTGCTATCATCAGCTTTTGCTGTTGTTGAAACGCTTCTAGTGTTTTTAGCTGTAAGGATTCCACATTTATCTAAATTACGCCAAATTTGGATATGTTAGGGTAGACTTACTAATAAACAATTTTCATGAAGAAAAACAATTCATTAGAGCATTGAGAGGCTTGCAATTGGTGAATCAAAAAAATGATGGGAAGAGGGGGAAATAAGAGTACTCACTCGTCTTCAACAAAAAAAAAAAAAAAAAGGCCCGAGCCTAAACAAATTGCAAGTGAATCAAATAGGAAAAAGGAATCATGAAAGGTAAAAAGGCGTACTCACTCGACTTCGTAAAAACAGAAGAAAAAGGATCGGGCCTATACAAAGTACAAATGGTGAATCGAAAAATAAAAAGGAAGGAAAATGGGGGAAAATGGGAAACTCACCCCTCTTCGTAAAAATTAGAAAAAAAGGCCCAGGCCTCTGGGCCATTTGACCATGGTGGAGGTGGAGATAGAGCACCTTGGCTGTTATGAGGAGGTTGTGGTAGGGATAAAGGAAACGGAGGTGACGAACCTAGGCTCAAAGGAGGTGAAGGTGACATACCCAGGCTCATATGAGGTAGAGGTGAAGGACCGAGGCTAAGATGAGGTGGAGGTAATAGAAAAAGGGAGGCTCCTCAGGGGAGGCTGTTCCTGCAGCCACTTCACCTGCAATTCTTCTGGTAATTGAAAAATTAAAAAAAGAAAGGTATAAATAAGATGAACTCATGCATGCATGGCTAAGGTGGTGTCTCATCCAAACCATCACCGAACTATGGTATTCCTAAATTTCAACGAGAATGTGCCTATACTAGTTGAGAATCCGGCGAGGGAGACCACTCCTGCAGGAGAGGCTAGTCCTGCAACAAATTGCAACTCGTGAATAAATAAAAAAACAAAAAAAGAAGGAAAGATGGGGAAAAAGGAGTACTCATTCATCTTTGTTAAATAATAATAAAAAAATGGTACGGGCCTAAACAAATTGCAACTCGTGAATCAAAAAAGAAAAAGGAATTATAAAGGGGAAAGGGCGTACTCACTTAACTTCACCAAAAAAAAAAAAGGATCGGGCCTATACAAAGTACAAATGGTGAATTGAAAAAGAAAAAGGAAGGAAAATAGGGAAAAATGACGTACTCACCCGCCTTCGTAAAAATAAAAAGAGGCTTAGGCCTCTAGGCCATTCGACCATGGTGGAGGTGGAGGAAAGCAACTTGGCTGTTAAAAAGAGGTTGTGGCGGGGACAGAAGACACGGAGGCAACAAACCTAGGCTCAAAGGAGGTGAAGGCGACAGACCCAGGCTCAAAGCAGGTAGAGGCGAAGGACCCAGGCTTAGATGAGGTTGAGGTGATAGAAAAAGGGAGGCTCCTCCTTCAGGGGAGGTTGTTCCTGCAGCCGGTAAAGCCATTGCAGCAGCTCTTTTGGTAATTCTTGAAGGTTAAAAAAGAAAATGGAAGAGAATAGAAGGAAAAAGGTGTACTCATTCGTCTTCACAAAAAAATAAAAAAAGAAGCTCGGGCCTAAACAAATTGCAACTGATGAATAAAAAAAGAAAATTGAAGGGAAAATGGGGAAAAATGAGTACTCACTAGTCTTCGCAAAAGAAAAAAGGAGGCTCGGGCCTAAACAAATTGCAACTCATGAATAAAAAGAGAAAATTGAAGGAAAAATGAGTACTCCCCGCCTTCGCAAAAGAAAAAAGGAGGCCCGGGCCTAAACAAATTGCAACTGATAATTCAAAAACGAAAAATGAAGGAAAAATGGTGAAAAATGAGTAATCACCCATCTTTGCAACAACAAAAAAGAAAAAGAAAAAAGAAAGGCCCATACCTAAACAAATTGTAACTGGTGAATAAAAAAAGAAAATTGAAGGAAAAATAGGGAAAAATGAGTGCTCACTCAACTACAAAATAATAATAATAATAATAATAATAATAATAAAGAAGCACAGGCCTAAACAAATTGCAACTAGTGAATCAAAAAAGAAAAATAAAGGAAAAAAGAGTATTCACCCATCTTCGCAAAAAAAAAAGAGAAAAAAAAAAAGGAAGGCCCGGGCCTAAACAAATTGCAACTAGTGAATCAAAAAAGAAAAAGGAATCACAAAGGGGAAAAAGGCGAACTCACTCGACTTCGCAAAAAAAAAAAAAAGGATCGGGCCTATACAAAGTACAAATGGTGAACCGAAAAAGAAAATGGGGAAAAATGGCGTACTCACCAGTTTTCATAAAGATAAAAATAAAAAGCCCGGGCCTCTAGGCTGTTCGACCATGGTGGAGGTGTAGGTAGAGCAACTTGGCTGTTAAGAAAAGGTTGTAGCAGGGACACAAGAAATAGAGGCGACAAACCTAGGCTTAAAGGATGTGAAGCAGACCTAGGCTCAAAGGAGTTGGAGGCGAAGGACCAAGGATCAAATGAAGTGGAGTTGATGGAAAAGGGAGGCTCTTCCATCAGGGGAGGCTATTCCTCCAGCCGCCAAAGCCGCTGCTATCGCTCCAATCGCTAAAGCCACTGCTGCCGCTCAAGCCACCTCTATCGCTCAAGCCGCCGCTGCCACTTAAGCCGTAGTTGTTGCTCAAGCTGTAGCAGCAGCTCTTCTAGTAATTCATGAAGGTCAAAAAATAAAAAGGAATGAAAGAGTGGGAAAAATGAGTACTCACCCATTTTCGCCAAAAAAAAAAAAGAAAAAAAAAGCCCAAGCCTAAACAAATTGCAACGGGTGAATCAAAAAAGAAAAAGGAATCATAAAGGGGAAAAAAGGTGTACTCACTCAACTTAGCCCAAAATATATATATATCGGGCCTATACAAAGTACAAAAGGTGAGTCGAAAAAGAAAAGGAAGGAAAATAGGGGGAAATGGCGTAATCACCCATGTTGGTAAAAATAGAAAAGGGCCCGGGCCTCTCGGCCCTTCGACCATGGTGGAGGTGGAGAAAAAGCAACTTGGTTGTTAGAAAGAGGTTGTGGCAGGGATATAGGAAACAAAGGCGACGCACCTAGGCTCAAAGGAGATGAATGCAATAGACTTATGCTCAAAGGAGGTGGAGGCGAAAGACCGAGGCTTGGATAAGGTGGAGGTGATAGAGAAAGGGAGGTTGTTCCTGCAGTCGCTGAAGTAGTTGTAGTAGCTGTTCTGGTAATTCTTGAAGGTTAAAAAAGAAAAAGGAAGGAAAACGGGGGGGAAAATGAGTACTCACCCATCTCTGCAAGAAAAAAAGGCCCGGGCCTAAACAAATTGCAACATATAAATAAAAAAAACAGAATAGAAAGAAAAATGGGGAAACATGAGTATTATCCCGTCTTCGCAAAAAAAAAAAAAAAAACAAATGAGTAATCACCCATCTTTGCGCAAAAAAAGGGTTGGGGCCTAATCAAATTGTAACTGGTGAATTAAAAAAGAAAATTGAAGGAAACAATGGGGAAAAGTACTCACTTGTCTTCGCAAAAAAAAAAATGCAAGTGGTGAATCAAAAAAGAAAAATGAAGGAAAGAGGGGAGAAAAGGCATACTCACTCGACTTCGCAAAAAAAAAAAAAAAAAAAAAAAAGGGATCGGGCCTGTACAAAATGCAAATGGTGAATCGCAAAAAGAAAAAGGAAAGAAAATGGGGAAAAATGGCGAACTCACCTGTCTTCGTAAAAATAAAACAAAAAGGCTCGGGCTAGAGGCGTTGCTGCTGCCGCTCAAGCCGTTGCTACCCCTCAAGCCACTGCTGCTGCCGCTCAAGCCGCCGTTGCCTTTTCGGCTCAAGCCTTTACAATAGCTCTTGGCTTAAACAAATTGCAACAGGTGAATCAAAAAAGAAAATAGAAGGGAAAATGGGGTAAAATGAGTACTCACCCGTATTCACAAAAACGAAAAAAGTTCATGCCTAAACAAATTGCAACTAGTGAATAAAAAAGGAAAAATGGGAAGAAAAAAAAAAGTACTCACCATCTTCACCAAAAAAAAAAAACAACAACAACAACAATAGACTCGGGCTTAAACAAATTGCAAGTGGGAATCAAAAAAGCAAAAAAAAAATGAAGGAAATTGGGGGGGAAGGGGGGTTTGTTCCTACAACAAATTA